AAAAATCGGCTGGAAAAATCTGAGAATATGCTAAAATTCGGCTGAAAATGGCTCAAACTTGAAAAATCTGGTCAAAAATCGACTAAAAATATGCTGAAAAATGACTGAAAAATGACTGAAAATCAGCTGAAATTGCAGCCAAATTGTCTGAAAATGGCTGAAAATCAACTGAAAATGTTCAGAAATTGGAGAAAAATGGCTGAAAATGAGCTCAAATTCGCCTAAAAACCGAGAAATTCTGTATGTTTTGAATGAATTTGACGACAAAATCATCATTTTTGGACCATTTTTTTTTCAATTTTTCTCATTTTTTGCTACCTACAGTAACCCACCAAAGCGTACTGTTTAGAACCCTAACACACCATGGCCTATTTCTGAGCCAAAATCGATTGCAAACTCACCACCGTGTACAATTTCTGGTCCCATCTGAATGCCTCTTTCGTCATTTCACTTCCCAAGAACGCCGGATCGAAATATAGACGAAAATCGATGGGAATCGAATTGATACCACTTCCATCAGTCAACACTATCAGCATTATTTGTTCGGTGTTCTGGAAAACAGATTTTTAGGCTTCAGAAATGCTGAAAATGCTTGAAAATCTTAATTTTAAGCTTGAAATTGCACACTAAATCGTTCAAAAACGCCCTGGGAACCCCTAGACACCAAAAAACCCCTAGAAACCCTGAAAATCGAAATTTCGCACATTTTCTGAAAAATGCACACTTGGCTCAGTGGTTCCTGGATTTCCCAATCTGACGATTTGGGTTCGAGCATTTTTACTAAATTTTGAGACAAAATCAATTTTTTACTCGATATAAAACGTTTTTCGGTCAATTTCAGTCATTATTATGCGTTTAAAGTGCTCCAAAAACTATGAAAATGGTCTAAAACGATTTTTCAAAAAAAAAATTGCCACCAGGGGGAACCGAACCCGGATCGTCAGATTGGGAAATCCAGTAACCACTGAGCCAAGTGTGCATTTTTCAGAAAATGTGCGGAAATTCGATTTTTGGGTTTCCAGCGGTTCCCAGGGCGTTTTTGAATGTTTTAGAGTGTATTTTCAAGCTCAAAATTGCGATTTTTGAGATTTTAAGCCTAATTTTGAGCGTATTTTCGAGCAAAAATTGGCTTAAAATCTTGAAAATCGCAATTTTAAGCCTAAAGGACGTTTTTGACTGAAAATGCGCTGAAAATAGGCAAAAAATGGTCCAGAAATCCCGTAAAAAGCTAGCTTGAAAATTGCACTCTAAAACGTTCAAAAACGCTTTGGGAACCCATAGAAACCTTGAAAATCGAAATTTCGCACATTTTTCGAAAAATGCACACTTGGCTCAGTGGTTAATGGATTTACCAATCTGACGATCCGGGTTCGAGTCCACCCGGTGACAATTTTTTTGAAAAATCGTTTCAGAACATTTTCAGAGTGTTTGGAGCATTTTAAACGCATAATAATGACTGAAATTGACCGGATAACGTCAATTTTCGAGTAAAAAAGTTGTTTTTGTCTCAAAAATCAGTTTTTTCAGCATTTTTACTAAATTTTGAGACAAAATCAATTTTTTACTCGAAATAAAACGTTTTTCGGTCAATTTCAGCCATTTTTAGCCGTTCAAGTGCTCCAAACACTGTGAAAATGGTCTAAAACGATGTTTCAAAAAATTTGCCACCAGGGGGAACCGAACCCGGATCGTCAGGTTGGGAATTCCAGTAACCACTTAGCCACGTGTGCATTTTTTATAAAATGCGCGAAAATGCGATTTTTAGGGTTTCTAGGGGTTCCCAAGGCGTTTTTGAACGTTTTAGAGCGTATTTTTAAGCTTAAAATTGCGATATTTGAGATTTTAAGCCAAATTTTGAGCGTATTTTCAAAATTTTCGATTTTTGGCCCACCTGAATAGCTCTACCCGTGCCGACTCCATCGATTCCAGTTTGTGCTCGATTTGTGTGTAAAATACGAAAAGCGTCTAGAATTGTCTGATGAATCTGTGCTGAACCATATGGAAGAGTGAGCTTTTTCAACTCGTCAACAACGATTCCACCCGCTTTCTCGGATACTACCTGCAAGTTGAAATTTGGGACATTTTGGGCCAAAAATTGCGTTTTTTTCGGAAAATTTTAAGCTAAAATTCATCGTTTTTGAGCAAAATTCGTTATTTTAGAGTGTAGATTCATCATTTTTAAGACCATTTTTGGCCCAAAATTCACGATTTTTGAGGTAAAATTGAACATTTTGAGTCGAAATTCATCATTTTTGAGCTAAAATTCATAATTTTGAAGACAAAATTCGTCGTTTTTAAGCCGAAATTGACCAATTTTAAGCCAAAATTTATCATTTTCGAGCCAAAATAACCTTTTTAAGATAAATTCGTCATTTTTGAGTGAAAATGACCGATTTTTCAGTCAGAATTTGGGTATTTTTGATCTGAAAAAAAAAGAGAATTTTGAGCCGAAATTCGCTATTTTAAAGCCAAAATTCATCATTTTCAAGCGAAAAATCATCATTTTTGAGCCATAATTGACTTTTCAAGATAAATTCGTCATTTTTGAGCTAAAATTCAGCACTTCTAAGCAAAAATTGATCATTTTTGAGCTAAAATTGATCATTTTTGAGTCAAAATTGACCATTTTCAAGCCAAATTGACCGTTTTCGAGCCAAATATGGCCGATTTTGAGTTAACATTCATGGGCCAAAACTCATCATTTTAAAGCCAAAATTCATCATTTTTGAGCTAGAATTCATCAGTTTTAAGCCAAAATTGACCATTTTTGAGCTAAAATTGACTATTTTTCAGTCAAAATTGACTATTTCAAAGCTTCAACTGAAAAAAATGTACAATTTTTGGGCCGAAAATCAAGATTTTAAGGAGGAGATTACAGATTATCATTAAGATTCATCATTAAGTCAAAATTTCAAAAAAAATTTTTTTTGAAAAAATTTTTTCCCCTAAAAATCTCGTTTTTGGTCATTTTTTTTTCAATTTTTCAGATTTTCTGTGTCATTTTTCGCGTACTTTCACATTTTCCGGATATTTTCCCTGTGTTGTCAGCAGAAAATATCGATCATTCTCCCTTCCGACGACCATTCTGCTGTCGGCTCGATTTCTGCCCTGAAAAAATGATTTTTTTTTGAATTTTTATGGAATTTTCCAAATCACAAACCTTGATGAAAGTCTCAATATAATTTTTGGCTAAATCGAAAAACGAGAATTGCGGATGTGACCGGGTGGACATGGATCCCGAAGTGTCCAGAATGAAAAAGTAGACCGGCATCGCTTTTCTAGGTCATACGTCGATTTTTCGGCGTGTTTTGAGCTGAAAATTGGAATTTTTGAGCTTAAATTAGGCGTAAATGAGGAGAAAAGTGGGTTTTAGGTGGAAACTTGCTTTAAAATTGTCTTTTGTGGAAAAAAAAACTTTTTTAAGGTTTTCAAAAATTTCCGGTTGGATTTAAAAATTTTCAGCTTTTGTTCTCTTTTTTACCCGAAAACCTCGATTTTTCAATGATTTTCCGGCAAAACCAATTTTTTAATGTATTTTTCGAATTATTCAAATTTCACCCAAAATTTTCGCGTTTTTCGACGAATTTCTATTATTTCCACCGTTTTTCGACACTACTCTGAATTTGATTTTTGAGCAATTCTCCACCTGAAACCCACTCTTGAACCCCTTTTTTCGTCGTGTTATTTTCGAAATTCGCTAATTTTTATCACCAATTTTTGCGCGTCGTTTAAAATGCACAGCCGAGTGTTTGCGTACTTTTGCGTATTTTGCACCGAACCTCACGACACGGATTTTTCAATTAATTAAATAGTCAAAAAAAAGAGATTTTCTTTAAAAATAAATTTTTCCAGACACATGCCTCGATGATAATAACACCATATCTCAACCCTCGCCTCGTCAAGCCGCTCAAATGGCTCGCAATTATTATCCTACTCTATTTCCTCTATTTTTCACTATTCTCTATTAATAAAAAGCCGGGGAAGCCCAGAAAACCGCCAAAAGCAGTGGAAAATTACACTTGTCCCTTTGAGAAAGCGGATTTTTCAAATTTCAAGGATAAAAAGTTGGAATTTCATAAAAACAATGGAACAGATCCGAAAATTCTGGTTATTTTGGACTCGTTGTTTTCGCGACATGGAAAATCGATAATTCAAATTCTGAATTCACAAAAATTCGCGTTTAAAGCCGAGGCGATTTCCAAGAATTTGCCAGTGCTAACTTCTGCGAAAAGGGGGAAATATTCGTTAATTATAGTAGAAAATTACTATAAATATTTGAATATGGCTCGTTGGAATCGGCAGTTATTGGATAAATATTGTAAGGAATATCGGGTCCCACTATTCTCGTTTATTGCTAGTAAGCCGAATGATCAGTTGAAGAGGATAAGGATTAAGGTGGGCTTTTTGAATAGAAAAATCGAAAAAATGGGGAAAAACACAGCTGAAATTGTGTGGAAGACACTGAAAAAAAGCATAGAAAAATCATTGAAAATGAAATATCTTTCAAGACCATTTTTATAGTGTTTGGAGCGTTAGAAAACGGTTAAAACGCCTGAAAATGGCTGAAGAAAACTAATTTTTGAGACAAAAACAACTTTTTTACTCGGAAAATGACGTTTTCGGTCATTTTCAGCCATTTTAATGCGTTTAAAATGCTCCAAACACTCTGAAAATGGTCTAGAACGATTTTTCAAAAATTTGCTACCGGGCGGACTCGAACCCGGATCGTCAGGTTGGCAAATACAGGAACCACTGAGCCAAGTAGGCATTTTTGGTAAATTGTGAGAAATTTTGATTTTTTGGGTATTTAGGGGGTTTTTGAACGTTTCAGAGGGCAATTTCAAGCTTTAAATGTGATTTTCGAGATTTTAAGCCAATTTTTTCTTGATAATACGCTAGAAATTTGGCTTAAAATCTTGAAAATCGCAATTTAGACATTGAAAATCCTCTCTGAAACGTTCAAAAGCGCCTTGGAAACCCCTAGAAACTCAAAAATTCGAATTTTTCGCACATTTTTCTGAAAAATGCACACTTGGCTCAGTGGTTACTGGATTTCCCAATCTGACGACCCGGGTTCGGTTCCCCCTGGTGGCAAATTTTTTTGAAAAATCGTTTCAGAACATTTTCAGAGTGTTTGGAGCATTTTAAACGCATAATAATGACTGAAATTGACCGGATAACGTCATTTTTCGAGTAAAAAATTGATTTTGTCGCGAGAAGTAGCATTTCCAGACGTTTTCACTGTTTTCTAACCCACCAAACACTGTGAAAATGGTCTTAAACGATTTTTCAAAAAATTTGCTACCGGGCGGACTCGAACCCGGATCGTCAGATTGGGAAATCCAGTAACCACTGAGCCAAGTGTGCATTTTTCAGAAAATTTGCGAAAATTCGATTTTTTTGGGTTTCCAAGGGCTCCCAACGCGTTTTTGAACGTTTTTAAGTGCATTTCCATGCTTAAATTTGCGATTTTCGAGTTTTTAAGCCAAAATTTCGGCGTATTTTCAAAAAAAAATTTTTTTAGTTTTTGAGAATTTCGAAATTTTTCGAAATCATTTTGGAAATTTCTAAAAATCTGAAAATCTATAAAAATTTATATTTCCCGCCAAAAAACCCCCTTAAATTTATTCAGGGAAGTTCCTTATGGATGTGGCAAAATCAACGGATCAATCGTCTAACTGTCTCACCGTCTCCAATTCATAAAATTTCGAAAATCGGTGCCTACCGTAATCTGACAACTCAAGAATCCGATTGGATTCTATTCGAAATTTCTGAAAACTTCGAATCGATTCTAACCGGGACCGTAAAAAATGGCTACGAGAGAGCAGTGGTTTTGAGAGACTTAGGCAGAGAGGATGGAGTTGAAAAAGTGATTTTTGGACGAAATTTAACGGATTTTCAAATTAAAATCACTTTTTTGGATGCATTATGGTGGGCTATGGGTGATGAGAAGTTGTTTGGATTGGATCGATTCGTACAGGTTTTTAGTTTTTTTTTTTGGCTGAAAATTTTGCTGAAAATTCTGAATTTCCCGGGAAAGCATCAATCGTAGCCAGTTTTCATATCGAAATTCAAGTTTCCCGTCCATTTTTACCCCTAGAACAACTATTCCTGAGAGAAGTGTGCATTTTGTCGTAAGGTTTGGTTTTTGCACAGAATCGGCGCTACCGTAACCCGAAAACTCAAAATTGAGAGTTATAGACGCAGAAAAAGGCTATTTAGGGTGGTTTTTCATGAGAAGTTCGAATCTGATATTGTTTTCAGTCAGAATTTCCGAATTTCTTCGAAATTCCGTATTTTCGATTTTTCCGGAAAACCATCAATCCTAGACAGTTTTCACTACGAAATTCGAGTTTCCCGTCCATTTTCACCCCTCAAACGCCTCCTTTTTGCGAATTGTGCATTTTGTCGTGAGGTTCGGTGTTTGCACAGAATCGGCGCAACCGTAACCCGAAAACTTGAAATTAAGAGTTAGAGACGCAGAAAAGTGTTTTCTAGAGTAGTTTTTCATGAGGAATTCGAATCTGACATTGTTTTCAGTCAGAATTTACGAGTTTCTTCGAAATTTGGGAATTCGAAATTTTTCAAAAAAAATTTTTTTTCAAAATTGTTTTTTTCGAATTCCCACCTATTTCCAGGTCGACATTGACGACGTTTTCGTCGGCGCGCAAAGCACACGAATCGTTGAAGAAGACGTTCGTCATCTGATTTCCGCCCAGAACCATTTTCGAAATTTTATTGAAAATTTCAAATTTTTATTGGGATTCTCGGGAAGCTACTTCCGAAACGGCGACGATTTCGAAGATCGAGGAGACGAAATTTTGATAGAAAATGCTGAAAAATTCGTTTGGTTTCCACACATGTGGAGGCATAATCATGCACATGAGCATAATTTTACGTATTTGGAGTCGATTATGGTACAGAATCGGCTGTTTGCACAGGTTTGTGGGGTCCAAATGGCTGAAAATAGCCTTAAATAGTCATTAAAATCGGAAAAATCCGTTGAAAATTGATTGAAATTAGTCGAAATCGCTAAAAATTGAAAGAAAATTCGAAACCTGCTGAAATCGTTGTCCACGAGGACTACACGGATGCTTAAGTTAAAATGAACAGAAGACGGCTTAAAATGGGCTTAGAAACTATAAGAATAGCTCAAAATCGATCTAAATTGGTCAATTTTCGGTAAAATTCAGTTTTTGAGAATTTTCGAAAAAATTAATTTTTTTTTGATTTTTTTTATTTCTGAAAAAGGTTGAAAATAGCCTTAAAGGGGCTCTAAACTCTTCAAAAAACGGTCAAAAAACGGTCAAAATTAACCAAAATCGATGTTTGATTACTGTAAATTCAAATTCGCTAAAAATTATTGTCCACGAGGACTACACGGATGAAATACACTGAAAATGGCTTAAAATAGCTTAGAACACGCTTGAAAACAGCAAAAATCGCTAAAAATAGGTCAAAATCTCCACAAATAGCTCGGTAATTTTGAAGCCGGTGAAAACTATTGTCCACGAGGACTACACGAAATTTGTTTCGCTATTAATAACCTCAAATATGCTTTAAAAACAGCGAAAAAAAGCCTAAAAATAGGCCTAAAAATGGTAGAAATAGCTAAAAATAGGTCTAAATGGACCAATTTTTACCCTCTTTGAGAACATTTGTCAAAATAATTTTTTTTTTAATTTTGATTGTTTTTTTCTGTCCAGCAATCATTTTCTCAAATAGCTGCGAATATGCTTAAAAACGACAAAAATAGCTAAAAGTTTGAAATCGGCAAAAGATGTTGTCCACGAGGACTACACGGATGAAAGAAACGAAAAATGGGTTGAAATAGGCTTAAATGATCCTTAAATGGTCTTTGAAATGCTGAAAATTTATCTAAATCTGCTAAATTTTGTCTAGAAACGTTTTTTAAACAATTTTCGAAAAAAAAGTTCCGAAAAAAAAAATTTTTGTTCCAGAACATGCATCTCCCCATCGACTACCCATATGCAATCGCGCCCCAACACGACGGCGTTTTTCCGGTTCACGAACAGATGTACGAGGCGTGGAAGAAGGTATAAAAAACTTGAATTTTTGAATTTTGGGTGATCCGGCGGGAATTTGAAAATTTTGAAAAAAAAATTTTTTTTTGAAGTTTTTTTTTGTAATGTTTAGAAGTTGTATGAGAAATTAGCTGAAATTTTCAAAAAATCTGGAAATTACAGAAAAAAAAATTTTCGAAATTTTTTTTTTTTTGCAGATCTGGAATGTTACAGTAACCGCTACAGAAGAGTATCCACATCTGAAACCAGCCACCGGACGGAAAGGATTCATTCATTCAGGAATCCACGTATTGCCACGTCAAACATGCGGACTCTACACGCATACACAGTTTTTTGACGAATATCCGGAGGGATTTCAAAAAGTTATCAAAAGTATTCAAGGAGGAGACTTGTTTTTTACGATTTTACTGAATCCGGTAGGTTTTGAGCGATATTTGAGTGAAAATTCGAGAAAAAACGGCTCAAAATGAGCTAGAACTGGTGTCAGAATTGAGGGATTGCTCAGCCTTAACTGTTTCTTTAAAAATTACAAACAAAGCCAGAGTTTTCGAGTTTTCCGGAAAAACCATCAATCCTAGCCAGTTTTCATATCGAAATTCAAGTTTCCCGTCTGTTTTTACCCCTAGAACAACTATTCCTGAGAGAAGTGTGCATTTTGTCGTAAGGTTTGGTGTCTGCACAGAATCGGCGCTACCGTAACCCGAAAACTCAAAATTGAGAGTTATAGACGCAGAAAAGTGCATTCTAGGGAAGTTTTTATGGGGAATTCGAATCTGACAAAATTTGAGCCTCAAAGCTTTTTTTAAATCCAAAAAATGCCCATTTTCCCAAAAAATCATCAATCCTAGGCAGTTTTCATGTCGTAATTCGAGTTTCCCGTTCTTTTTACTCTAAAAACGACGATTTCTAAGCGAATTGTGCATTTTGCCGTGAGGACCGGTGTTTGGTTTGGTTTTTGCACAGAATCGGCGCTACCGTAACCTGAAAACTCAAAATTGAGAGTTAGAGACGCAGAAAAGTGTTTTCTAGAGTAGTTTTTCATGAGAAATTCGAATCTGGCATTGTTTTTCGTCTAAACACAACCGAAAACTTGAAATGACCAAAAAAATTTCTGAGAAATTCCAAAATCTTTTGGAAAACCGACCCATTGCTCATCCTTAATTCTTAAAAAAGTTTGCAGATCTCAATATTCATGACCCATCAACAAAACTACGCTCATGATCGCCTGGCACTGTACACTTTCGAGAATTTGTTTCGATTTTTGAATTGTTGGACAAATATCCGGCTAAAATGGCAGAGTCCTGTGGAATCGGCAAAAATGTACTTTGAGAAGTTTCCAGAAGAGCGGATACCACTTTGGACGGTAAGAATTTTGAATTTCCCGCTAAAAATGACCCCGGAAAGCGTTGAATTTGGCCATTTTAACATGGCGGCCTAACTTTCGCATGTTGAGTTTTCTAGGCCACCATGTAGAAATGGCCTAGAAATGACCTGATATTCATCTGAGGAGTTTCCTACGCCAGTTTAACACAGTGGCCTAGAAATCTTAACTTGCAAAAGTTAGGCCACCATGTTAGAGTATCCTATAAAGCACACCAGATGCATGTGAGGTCACTTCAAGACCGTTTAGCATGGCCTAACTTCTGGAACTTGAGTTTTGTAGGCCACCAAAGTTTATGGCCTAGAAATGGTCTAACATGCATCTGGTTGGTTTTCTAGGCCAGTTTAACATGGTGGCCTAGAAATCTTAACTTGCAAAAGTTAGGCCACCATGGTAAAAATGACCGGAAAATTCAAATTTCGCGCTCAAAATTGCTGAAAACTCGTTAATTAGCCTCTAATTAACCATAATTATAATTTTCCCAGAATCCATGTTCGGATCCACGTCATCAGGCGATTCTTCCACCATCCATGAGTTGTTCCAAGAAATCGCTTCCCGATTTATTGATAATTGGACCACAGAAAACAGGTAATTATAGGGGCTAATTAGGCTTAGAAAACTGGCTAAAATAGGCTAAACTGACCTAATAACGGCCTAATTACGGCTTAATTGAATTTTTTAAAGGCGCATATCTCAAAAACTACGGTAGCTATTGAAAAGTTGTCAACTACAAAATTGCTCAGCATAAAATTTTACGCGTGCTCTGTAGTTTGTAGTTTTTGTAGTCTAGCCAGAAATCGGCTAAATTAAGCTTAAAATGCTCCAAAATGACTGAAATTAAGCTTAATTTTTGTCTAATTACCCTCTAATCACCCTTCAATTACCCCTAATTAACGTTTCAGGATCCACCGCACTGGCCAGCTTCCTGGCCCTTCATCCGAATGTGTCTCAAAATATGGAAATTCCCGGATCTTTTGAAGAAATTCAATTTTTTAGCGGACAAAACTATTTGAAAGGTGTAGAATGGTAGGTTTTGTGGACATCCGGACATCTGGAAACACAGAAAACGCCAAAAATCGACGTTTTTCGAGAAATTTCGAAAAAGTGCACACATGGCCTAGTGGGATTTTCGACGAATTTGGATCCGAGGGTCTCGGGTTCGACTCCCACCGGTGGCAATTTTTTTTTGAAAATTTTTTTTTTCGAATGTTTTTGGGGCCTTCGAAGGCGGGAAATTTGAAAATTGGGTTTTCAAAATTTTTTTGAAAAAAAAAATTTTCTGGAAAAAATTTTTAAATTAAAAAAAAACCCAATTTTTCTTCCAGGTACATGTCGAAATTTCCCAACGAGACTACAGTAATCTTCGAGAAATCCGCCACATATTTTGATAATCCGTCAGCGGCGCGCCAGGCGGCCGCTATGGTACCTCATGCGAAATTAGTCATAATTCTACAGAATCCCACGCAGAGGGCTTATTCTTGGTTTCAGGTGATCAATGGCATGTCAATTCGCAACTGTGACGTTCTAGAACTGCTCATTTGGCAACCGGACAATTTAGAACCATTGCGAAATAGTTAGTTGAAAGGTAGTCGGTTTTAAAACGTCACAGTTGCCAAATGACTAGTTCTAAAACGTCCGGTTTCCACCAAGCCCGTTCTAGAACGGCATGTTTTGAACTAGCTGGTTCTGAAGCGTCCAATTTCAAAACAGCCGGTTCTAAAACGTCACAGTTGCCAAATGACCGTTTTTATTGATTTCCATTCCAAAAAAGTCCCTGTTCCAGCACCTGATTGCTCATAAAGATCCAATTGCAATGTCATCAGAATCACTCGACGTGATTCTGAATTCCACGTCATCTGAATCCGCGAAATTCAAAATTCGTCAACGATGTCTTTCTGGCGGAAGATATGTGCATCATTTGGACAAATGGTTGGAACATTTCTCACTTCAACAAATTCAATTTATTGATTCTGATGAATTGAGGAAGGAACCGGCGAAGGTAGGAGATTCTGAAAATCTGAAAATTTTCGATTTTTGGTTGTGTTTGGACTGAAAATATTGTCAGCTTCGAATTTCTCATAAAAAACTACCCTAGAATACATTTTTCTGCGTCTCTAACGATCAATTTTTAGTTTTTGGATTACGGTAGCGCCGATTCTGTGCAAACACCAAACCAAACACCGAACCTTACGACAAAATGCGCAATTCGCCCAGAAACAGTCGTTTTAGGGGTAAAAATGGACGGGCAACTCGAATTTCGATATGAAACCCGTCAAAAATCAATGGTTTTCAAGAGAAATAAGAATTTCTCAAAAACATATGTTTTTTCATGGAATTCCTAGACTTTTTTGACAATTTTGAACGTCAAATTCGAAGATTGCATGGAAAACTACCCTAGAATACATTTTTCTGCGTCTCAAACTCCCATTTTTGAGTTGTCGGGTTACGGTAGCACCGATTCTGTGCAAACACCGAACCAAACACCGAACCTTACGACAAAATGCACAATTAGCGCAGAAATTAATGTTTACGGGGTAAAAATGGGTGGGAAATTCGAAATTCGTTATGAAAACCGTCAGAAATCGATGGTTTTCAAGATAAATAAGAATTTCTCAAAAAACATGTTTTTTCCATAGAATCCTCAGACTTTCTGACAATTTTGAACGTCAAATTCGAATTCCTCACGAATAACTACCCTAGAAAGCACTTTTCTGCGTCTCTAACTCTCTATTTTAAGTTCTCGGGTTACGGTAGCACCGATTCTGTGCAAACACCGAACCAAACACCGAATCTTCCGACTAAATGCAGAAAATGCTCAAAAATAGTCGTTTTAGGCGTAAAAAAGGGCGGAAAACTCGAATTTCGATATGAAAATTGTCTAAGATTGCTGGTTTTTAAGGAAAAATTGTAATTTTAAAATTTTTTCGAAATTTTTTTTTGTCAAAAATTCGAATTTTTGCTTTTCAGGTCCTCTCATCGTTATCAAAATGGCTGGATCTTCCCGAATTTCCATTCGAGACCCATATTCGTTTCAGTCCATCAAAAGGCTTCCATTGCCGTTTGATAAATGGAAAAACGGAGTGTTTAGGAGAGAGTAAAGGACGGAAATATTCGGAAATGTCCCAGGAATTACGACAAAAATTGGACGGAATTTTTGCTTTGGACAATTCGGCACTTTTCAAATTTCTGCGAAAAAATCGACTGAAAATTCCGGATTGGCTGGAAGAAGCCGTTCGGATTCGCGTTTAATTTTTTTTTTTTTGATTTTTTCTAAAAATTAAAATTTTGTATTTTTTTGAAATCCTGATCATTGCTCATCTTTATCATCATGCTTGTCTTGTTTTCCTCCAGAAGATCTTTTTTGTCTGAATTTCGGGTTACTCTAATTTTGTGCTTACTGTGTGCTATGGTTCTTTTTTTCTGTGAAAAAATCCTTTTTAAATAAAAGTTTGGAAATATTAAAAAGCTTGTTTTTAGGTCGATTTTTTGATTTTCGAACTGCAAAACTCTTGAGTGCAGTGGAGCGCGATTTAGAGCCAATCAGTGGAGCCAGTTGTTGGTTGAAAATACCGTAAAACCTGTGATAGAAGGGGATACAACTTTAACTCATATTATCTGGGTTACTGTAATAGCTATTGAAAAGTGGTCAACTGATAAAATGTTACTGATAATATGATAAACATTTTATCAGTTGACCACTTTTTGGTATCTTTCCCGGGAAACGAGATAAATTGACTGGAAGTTAACTACGGATTTTTCAGATTTAGAATATTTTGAAACTTTTTTCTGTTTCAAAAAATATTTGAATTTTCTTAGGCACCACAACATAATTTTCAAAATAGATATTTTCTTATTTTTATTGTGGGATTCTCTTCTCCACTCTTATAGAAGTCCATTCCCAAAATATCAGCGAAAAATCTTTCTCCAGACACGAGTTACAGACCCTTTTCCATCAATCCTCAATGTACTGACTTTCTCCTCATTGTTTTGCGGTGCGCAGAAAAGTGGGCGGGGTTTAGAAGCTTGCAATCCTGCGGCGCGGAAAATTCGACGAGGAAATTGAAGACAACGACAATAGACACAAGAGGGATTCGAACTTCCGGCTACACATGTCCTGGGCGATGATGTGCATAATGGATGGGAGATGGCGGACGCGCCGATGAATGGGGTACAGGGAAAAGGACACCGGTATGGGGCATATACGGGGCATATGGGGCACACCGCCGCCGCAAAGCATCTCCTCGCCTGGCTTGTTGGCACTCGATGAAATGAACTAAAACGTTGGTTGGGGGTTCCTAGAAGTATCAGTTAAGTTCTATTGTGATGTGATTTTGTTCAGGTCTTCCCATTTCGTACTTTTCCTTTATTATTCCATATTCTTTTATATTTTCAACGACATATTAATGATTTTTCGAAACTCAATGTTTTGGTTTTGAAAAAGACTTATGGAAGTTTCTATTTAAATTTTCAATGAAAAATCACCTCAAAAAACAAAAAAACAAGAAAAAATGTTTCTTCGTACAACTATAATTTCGCAACTTTGGCCGTAACATATCTCGGTTTCTGTAAAAGTCTTGATATCAGAAACATTCCATCAGTTGACAATGTTTTAATATCTCAAACAGGAAACAAGATAATTTGACTCAAAATGAAAGATCTTCTCAAGGAGTTGACAGATTTCAAAATTAAAAATTCAAGTTTATTTAAACGTGATGAAAAGCATATATATATATAAAAGAAAAAGGAAGTTTGAAAAAAAAAACATATTCTAGAAAAGAACTGCGTGAATTGGTTTAGAAACCCACGCCCCAAGATGACCTCAGGCAGATAAGATTACTATAAAGGAAGAAGAAAGTAGAGGGAAGAATCAGTTCTCCCTTCTCGGGGCTCCCGAGAACGTGACCCGGGGATCCTGGGGCATGTATCTGGGTGACCTGGATCCTTGTGACCTGGATCCGGGTGGCCTGGATACGGTGACCTGGATTCGGGTGACCTGGATTCGGGTGGCCTGGATTCGGGTGGCCTGGATTCGGGTGACCTGGATTCGGGTGGCCTGGATTCGGGTGGCCTGGATCCGGGTGGCCTGGATCCGGGTGACCGAGATCCGGTGACCTGGATCCGGGTGGCCTGGATTCGGGTGGCCTGGATTCGGGTGGCCTGGATTCGGGTGGCCTGGATTCGCGTGGCCTGGATCCGGGTGGCCTGGATTCGGGTGGCCTGGATTCGGGTGACCTGGATTCGGGTGGCCTGGATTCGGGTGGCCTGGATCCGGGTGGCCTGGATTCGGGTGGCCTGGATTCGGGTGGCCTGGATCCGGGTGGCCTGGATCCGGGTGGCCTGGATCCGGGTGGCCTGGATTCGGGTGACCTGGATCCGGGTGGCCTGGATACGGTGACCTGCGTTCGGGTGGCCCTGACCGGGTGACCTTGATTCGGTTGACCTGGATCAGGGTGACCTGGATACGGTGACCTGCGTTCGGGTGGCCCTGACCGGGTGACCTTGATTCGGTTGACCTGGATCAGGGTGACCTGGGTGGAACGTTTTAAGGCAAGCCAAAGGATTGTAGCAGCCGAGAGGCGGCAAAAATCGACCGGTTTAGACATAATTTCAACCATTTAAATCTGATTTCAAGCAATGTTTGATTATTTTTAGTACTTTTTGAATCAAAATGCTTTTAAATGATTTTGGATAAGTTTAAAGTTGTTTTTTTTTTTGGATATTTTGTTTTAAACAACTTTCAGCCTATTTCAGTTTATTTTAGATTATATAAAACATTTCCAGATAATTTTAAACTAATTTCGAAGGAACTCTGGAAAAAGTTTGATTATAATAGCTTTATAATATTTTAGCCATTTTTTGCCAGCTATTTTTGCCATTTACATTTGTATATTAGCCACTAAGCGTTTTTACTTTTTTTTTTTTGAAATTTTTGTGAAACTGAAAAAATTTTTCTACAGCCCTGAACCCCAAAAAGTCAAGGACAATCATTTTGAATCATTTTTAACCAATTCCAATAAAGTTTTTCGAACATTTCGAATCGAATAGTTTTAAGCCTATTTTATTCATTTTTTCGGACAATTTTTAGATTTTCGCATAGCTCTTGAAACGGTTTTTATCATTTTCCCGGTTTTTTGAAAACTGTATAAAACTGAAAAAAAATTCTAATGACCTGAACCCCCAAATAGGCTTCTTCCTGTTTTCATTGTTTTCAATTTCAAAGATCCTTTCTTATCATTTAGTCATATAATCAAAAATCGAGACATCCGCTTTCCCCCCAAAACAAAAATGTTGCAAAATCACAAAAACAAAACAAAAATAATACTATTTCTGTTTCAGGTTTTTGGTGATTTTTGAGCTTCTGACACATTCTGCACACAAAAACTATCATTTTTTGTTTCTTATCATTTCCTATCAGTTGGAATTTATTGGAAAAACTTCCGATTGCGGGTTGTGATGTCTTCATTTTATTGCCATTTTAGCAGTTTCGGTGCGAAAAATAAGAAAACTCATGTGAAAAAGAGATGTGAATGGTCAGTACGTCCGGATGTCCGGCTGAAATTTTAGAAAGTTTTCTACCTAGAGGCTTCTAGTTTTGCTCCAACTTCATGTTCAATATGGCCAAACCGAATTGGCTTGACTTGCACTTCAAAACAAGCCTAAACACGACTAGGTTCCGTCTATTTGAAATTTCACTTTGGCACGCGACGCACGACCGCGACGCTCCTAGTCGTGTTTAGGCTCATTTTGAAGCGAAAAACACGTGGAATTCAAATTTAATGTTATGAATGCATGAAAACAAACCTAGACACGACTAGATTCGGCCTTTTTTCTTGAATTCGACAAACATTTGTTGTCACAGTACCGGTCAATAAGATATACAAAAACGTATTTTTAGGTTGATTTTCTCTAATTGTCGATTTCTGAAAGACAACCCTTTTGACTTGTTTTTGTACTGAAAAAGTGAAAAAAATAGGGGTCCTTTAGAAATTGTCTCATAACTGAAAAACTAGGAACTCTCGAAAATTTAAAAATGCAAACTTTTCAATCTAGATCTGTTTTATACCTTCAAAAAACGTTTTTGTATATCTTATCGATGGGTGTATTCCGGACGTCTTAATGTTCAAATTTTGTACATGTTTTCTGTATTCTGTATTCCGAATGTCCGAGAAAAATGAGTTATACCTGATTTTCAGCAAAAATGAGATTTTCAATTTCCGCTAAAACTATATAAAAATTAGGGGATTTTCTAGAATTATGATATTTCGCGGAAGGCGGCAAAAAATAGGACAAGATTTTGAAAACATCTCGATNCGGTGTTGGTCGTAAGGGTCGGTGGTCGGTCGGTCGGCTGAATTTGCCGACCGAATGGAAGCCTTAGTTCTAAAAAAAAGTTCACTAGAGAAACATTTTTTCTTCAATTTGCCATGAATCGGAATGCTAAATTATAACTTCAAATAATTATTTTTTAGAAACAGTAAGTTTTTTTTTTCTTTTAGACTAAGTTTTCGTATTCCCCTTCCAAACCTAGACTTTTCAATTTATCAATTTTTTCAGGATTCTCTCATCGAAATTCTCAATTTTCAGACCTACGATCTTTCTGAAAACAAAAACGGCACAACTAGCAGGGAAACATAATTTTTCTTAGAGAAAATCGGAAATTGACCTTCTTATCAGCCGGGAAAAATGCTTCCAAAAATGATAAAGAATCGCCGGAAACCCCCCAAACAAAGACATTCTTCTATTTTTGGCTTGATCTTTGGACCAATAAAACGAAAATTCAGAAATTAGACTTTAGAAGTATTCCAGAACTTTTTGATTTTTCTGAAAATTCCAGATGTTACTAAACAAAAATAATGGTTCATTGAAAGCGGTATATCTCATTTAGTTGAATTAGTACCTAAAAATTGTTAATTACAAAATTAAAGCTCTATGTTTGTTTAGAATACTCTGAAACTTTCAGACAAATTGAAAAATACTGGACTACTTTTGTAGGACTTCAAAGTTGACTATTTCCAACTGAAAAATTCTTAAGAGTGAACTTCACATCAACATTTTCATCATTTCCTTTTACATAAAAATTTCGTAAAACAGAAAAATTGAAATTCCTGTACCAAATTAAAAAAAAAATTCCCTGATTTCTGGAATCACATTTTTTACCATGAAATTTCAAAGAACTTCCTGGAATCATCGATTTCTCAAAAATTACAGTTTCAAATTTCCTTTACTTGAAAACTCATCAAGTGTCTATTCAATATCAGAAATCAAAAATTAAACTACTAGAAAATACACAAAATTCCCTTCAAAAACTTGCCAGAAATCAAGATTCTAGCACAGTTTTCAGCCAAGTTATGGGCGTTTGAAGTTTATAGGGATGAGAGACGCAGAGAAACGAAAACGCTCTCGTTTCTTTGCGTCTCTCCACACTTCAAATGCTCATAACTCGGCTCAAAATTGACGTAGAAACTTGATTTCTAGGTTATTTTCAAGATAAATTACTGCATTTTTAGAAAATTTTAGTTTGAACCCATTCTTTGACCTAGAATCACATGTAAATGACACAAAGTTAATTGAAAACTCTAATTATTCTAGGAGCACTGATTGACCAGACATTTTTATCCTTTATCTTTGAAATCGTTCAAAGATTTGTCTCATTTTCCCTTTAAATTGAAAAAAAGAAGATTTGGGGTTTAAAGGTGGGGGGACATGAAAAAAATAATGTTCTCGAAATTCCGTTCAAAGATGCCCCTCGAGGAATTGAACTTGTGAGGGCGATGATTGAGGGTGCGACGCCGCTACCGACTGAGCCACGCGGGCAAAGAGAAAGCGGACGCCCGATTGCATACATAAAGGCGAGGACGACAGCTGTACGCAGAGTGACATTAAACGTTGTACACCGTCACGGTAGAATGCATACTCTAGCTACAAAAAAACTACGAAAAATCTCCTGTCCCCCACCTTTAAAACAAGAGAAAAGGTGTAAAAAAGAAGATATATACAAAAGTGATGTCATTTTGCAATAAAATCTGTCCACTTTTGTGGTCTCGTTCAATTATTTTCTGTAATGGGTACAAAAAGTTCTGGCAAGTCATGAAACTAACAAAGACCAACCATAAAGTGATGTCAGACATTCAAAAATTGGATCATTTATATTAAACTAGAAAATTGCAACACTACAGTAGTACCGGACTGTTTGTTTCGAAAATCATTGAGAAATTTCTCAAATTTGGATTTTCGGTGAGAAGTAGACTGAAAATTCAAGTTTCAGAAATCTTAAAAATATAAAATCTGCCAATCACTGTACAATTTATTTTGGTTTTGCACATATAAGTTTTTTGAAACGGCGAATTTTTGAAAATCAAGAAAATTTTTACATACTACAGTAGCCCAAACTGGTATCACATTGGAAAGTATTGGTTTTACCGAAACTTTTTTTTCTGTTTCATGTTTTTTAAGATAAATGAAATAACGAAAAAAGTCGTTAATTTTGCCATAGCTACTTCGGGATCCATATTTTGTGACCAAATAAAAAACACCGTACCTGACAAAAAAGATAGCATTTTGGAGATTTTCAGCGGAAAGTAGTCAATTTTGAAAACCTTAAAAAACAGTACAAAATTTTTCAATTTAGCTAGAAATTCCAAAGTGCACTGAACAAAAATAAGGCTTCAATTTTGTAATTGACAATTGTTCTGTGAAAATTAAAGGAAACGAGATAGGCTGTTTCAAAGTTTGGGGCCCAGTATCCAAGGGTACATCGAAAAAGGGTACATCTGATATTTTCGAAAGTTCAGAAATTTTGAAAGCCAGGGAAATCTTTTAATTTCAACTTTTTGAAATTCATAAAACGGATTCAGAAATTTTTTAATTTGAAAATTTTTTTTTCTGAATATGGCATCAGAAAGTTACAGAAATATTTGAAAACATTGCTTCCGAAATTGAATTGATTTACGAAAAAAACTTAAATTTCAGAAAATTTTAATTTTGGAGATTTGAGCTCAATTTTTTGTAGGACGCACATAAATACGCCCAAAATACTTTTTGCAAAATTGAAGTTTTAGTGAGTTTCAGCATTATTTTGAATAATTTCGATTCTTAACACTATGGGT